TCTGAATAAATTCATCATTTGCATAAATGTATTTTTCGAAACTTCGAAGTTTCGAAATTAATTTTGAACTTCGAAGCTTCGAATATTCGAAATAAGTAATTAAGAAAATGCAAAGTCGCAATATGTCATATTTTTCGTCGCAAGAAGAAGTGGATGTTAGAAAAAAACAGAAAAAAATAACAGCCTAGTATACATATATATCTCACTGCATCTTCGCAAGATTACGGTTTGCGCGATTCGCACGCCGGACTTACGCGGCGATCGCGAAAGCTCGCGAGACAATGGTCCAGCCAGTGTATGTATGTATGTATGTACGGCCGATTCGGCTGGTACACAGCTTCCTCCGCTATGCTGCGATTTACGAATGTTTACCTTATTTATCTGTATATACTATCAATTTTTAATTGCTCCCATTTTTTGTCGGCAAAACTGCCTTTTAAAAACTTTTTATTTTAACAATTTAATAAACTCATAAATAATTAAATTACACAAAGATTTTTTAAACAATAGCTTATTAGTTTTTAATAAAAATTTTTAATGAAAATCTAATAGAGTTATATATTAGATTTTATATCCGATTCTGAGACTTAGATTAAATTCAAACCACTAATGTGCGAAGGACAAAAATAAAATGGAGAAGCCTCTTATTTAAATTTACTAATTACAAACAGACTGTGCGTTATTCGAGAGCCTGGCGCCATCTAGCATCGATATCCTGTGTTGAAAATGATGAAATTGCGTTATATCGACCGTATGTAAATCGTTGTCAGCAAGATTCACCGACGAAAAGTATAGTAAAATTAGAAAAGAAACAGATAGATGATTGTTAAAATATAAAAAAAGAAACAATTTTCAGATCAAACAGTACATATATGTATATTTATGTAATATATAGTCGTCGGCTATTATCATTGGTCGATTATTATTGCGTCAACTGTCAGTCGTATATAAATATTTCACATAGCATAAAATAAAATAAATTAACTATCGCCTGAAAGAGCAGTTTAATGTATTTAATTATTGCCATTTAATTACTGAATTAATATACATTAAAATATATTTTTATATTGATATATTATATTTATATTTATAATATATTTATTACAATTTTATATTTATAAAGCAAATCTGCAAATTATATATAATAGGCGCTTACGAGTCAGTGCCAGCGGTCTGGGAGATAATGAATGCACTTTTCACGCGCGCAGATACGATAACCGTATAAACTTAACCGTATAAACCTAATCTCCTGCCTGATTAGTGGTAACTTCGCTCGAACGGTTAATTTCGTAAGACTCAGTCTCGCGATTTGCAATTCCCTCGAGAGAATCGCGATTCAAGTCGACGGTCTCTTCGCCACTGCTACTACCACCACCACCACCATCACCACCACCACCACCACCACCACCATTACCACTGTTAACAGTAGTTACATCCGTCGCTGACGCACTAACTACTCCAGTTGTATCACCCTACCTTTTCCTCGTCCTTGTCCCCCTTCCACGGGTGGCGACGTTCACCTTCACGTGTGTCCCGTACACGGCTGCTCTCCGCTGTTCCGCAGAATCCGAAGCCGCGCCGGTATATCCTCGCCGTGTTTCGCGAAAGGATCAAGATGGGGATTTATTGCCTGCAACAATCGTACCGCTCGTGACGTTAGAGCGCTTTCCGCACGTCGACGCGCTGCCACGGACGAATACCGAGAAACGTACGACACCACGGGAGGAAACTCTTTGCACGATCGGCACGCACGCGTCGGCGTGATTGACGCGCACTCGAGACAGATGCACGCCGTGTTGTCACATAAATATACGAAAAATCCCTTTGTGTCTCGCGATTAATTGGTCGTAAAATCGACCGCGCCGATCCCCACCGGTTCCCGCCGGTACTGCGTCGCGAATATTTTGCACTTTGCAACAATTCGTACGGAAAGCCCCGCGATGCATAACGAAGTATACAATTACACTTAATTGACGTTAATTTGAATATAATTTGAATTATATTTATTTCAAAACAAATCTCTATAATAATCTATATTACAGTTACTTTAATTATGTTCATTAAAAAAATTTTTGTGATTTATAATTTATATTTATAATTTGATTAAATTTTTATTTTAACGATTTAATAAACTCATAAATAAGTAAATTACACAAAGATTTTTTAAACAATAGCTTATTAGATTTTTAATAAAAATTTTTAATGAAAATCTAATAGAGTTATACATTAGATTTTTATTCAAAATCTAATAATATTGTGTAAGGTCATTCTTAGCTCACACTTTTCATGCAATTTGTTGAAGCTTTAATTTTTATTAAAAATCTAATAAAGTTGTATGAAAACTGATACAAAATATTCTGAATATAATGGACTAATATTATAGCTTTTTATAAATTCAAGAGAATTATCTTGTATTATTTAATTAAATATATATGTTATTTAATTAATAATTATAAAATTAATTAATAATTAATAAAATTAAAATAAAATAAATTAATAATTAATAAAAATATATTATTTAATTAAATATATGTATTAAATAGAGAATTCAGCTGGAACACGTGGCTCTTCTCTTCCTGTCTCCATCAGCTTTCAAACAATACATCACACAACGTGTCGAACGGAAGATTTCCAGACTCTCGTCGCCGCAAGATTCATCGGTTTCGCCAGTGGTCAATTGCAAAAATTGACCGCACGTCTGTGGTTCTCAATCGCCGACGAATGTCGGTGTTCGAGCCGGTCTACCATCGTCGCGCGATAAAAGTTCGCACTGCCGTACGTGGCTGCGTCATCCAGAGAAATGGAAGAAAAACACGGCGGCGCGTTGCGATAGCCGCGCTGCCAAGAGAGGCCCGCGGTCCCCGCGGATTGTTTCCGACTTGTCAAACATCGGCAAGACACGTCCGCGATCGTCACAGTCTGGACACGTTCGGTCAGTGCGAGGAGGTGAGGCATCGGGTGCGCCAGCACAATGCTCGTGCCATCGTCCGCCGCGTTTTTCCTGCTGCTGCGCCTGCTGGTCACGATCGCGGCCCATCCGATTCATCCGACAACATCATCAGAGATCGCGCGGCGACCCGACGCGTCGCCGAACAAGTGCTGCGTCGCCGGTTACGTGTTCAACGAGGACCTCGAGTGCGTCCACCATGCGAAGCTGGACCGATTGAACTACACCACGCACGATCATGCCTGGCGAACGATCTCGTCATCCCGGCAGCATCCGCAGCGGATCGTCACGGTGATCGCGTCCACGCAGGGCTTGAATTGCCGCGATAACGAGGAGGACAATGACAGTTCGAGACGCCGTCCACGCGATCTGCCGCACATCTATTCCATCTTTCGCGCGTTGAGGGACTATTGCATAGAGAATATGATCAACGGCACGACGGTGCTGATCAAGTGCGAGGAGGTCGGCTCGGGAGTGACTCCGGACGGAGAGAATTCAACGACGGTGGTGATGAAAACCACGAAAACGACGTCAACAACAACGACGACGGTCATTACCGTGACGACTGTCACCACTATTACCACCGTCAGCGTGGCGACGAACGTATCGTCGAGGGAGGGCGAAGAGGAGATCGTTCACCACTGCAACGATCTGCGGTCGTTGTTCTTCTGGGGCGCGCAGACCTACATGGACACCAACGTCGCCCACGTCGTCCTCTCGACGATCGTCGTCGTGGTGTACCTGTCCGTGCCGGAGCTCGGCAGGAGTATCTACAATCGCGCGGTGCTCCGTCACAACGTCTGCCTGCTGCTGCAGGGATGCCTGCTGACGTTTCTCGCCTACTGCAACCTGTGCGGCGTCCCGATGAGCGACGACTTCGAGACGCTCCTGTGGATACTGATGCAATACTTCACGAACGCCACGGTGTTCTGGCTGAACGTGATCTGCTTCGACATGGCCCTGTCCATCACGCGGTTCCGCTGGATGATGGGCTCGGGTCAGCAGACGAGTCGCGAGGAGAACCGGCGACTCCTGCTGTACGGCGTTTTCGCGTGGGGCGGCGCCCTCCTACCCGCCGTCGTCGCCGTCATCTTGGAATTCTGCCCCGGCATCTCGGAGGATCTCCCGCTCAAGCCGAATTACCGCCGTTACCACGGCGGGCCGAACTACGTGGTGAACATATATTTCTTCGGCATACCGCTGCTGACGCTCTTCTGGAACAATGTGCTATTCGCGTTCACCACGTACAAGATCATACGGATACAGCGTAGCACCGAGATAGCTACGAGGAATCACACCAACGTTCTCAGGAAGAAATACTTCCTCTTCTTGCAGCTGTACCTGCTGATGGGCGCCCCGTGGTTCTTCGGTCTGCTCCTCGCCTGCATGAACAATCTCGTGGTGATGAAGATATGCCGGCTGATATGGCCGATTCTGTGGCTCCTGATGCTGGCTACCCACAAGAAACTACGGCGGAAGCTCGTGAACAAGTTGCGGCGCGTCAAGAAGAAGAGGCCGGATATTATCACGACCATCTCCAGTAGACAGTTACAGTGCGCGATCTAGAATCGGCCTTCTCAGACCGCCGAAAAAAAAAAAAAAGAAAAAAAATGCATGCATGACGAATCGAGTTCTTATCAATTGCAACCGCAACCGCGTGAAAAATCGCGGGATACTCCTTCTATTGTCATACAACGTTACGCAATCTCGCTGCGGCGTACATACAGTTCCTCCTGCTCGTCATCGCGTTTCTTTCGCGCGAATTGCGCGTTCACGGGCATTTACATTATTTTCTTGCGCAACCCGTAGAAAACCCCCGTTTCTCGAGGAAAAGTAGGAAAAAAAAAAAAGAAATCAACAACGTCGCCGTCGCCGTCGCCGCGCCGTCGCAATATCCGATGCCGCGAACTGAGCGATGAGTCGTAGAAAAACTCGGGTACGCGGCGTCGTCGTCGCCCGGCGGGGATAATAAAGGAGCCCATGGCGCGACGTCGTTTCCTGCCGGGGTATTTTAATTACCGTATTCGCGACGCGCCATCACTCGCGCCCCCGCGCGCGCGCGCGCGCTCTCGCTCGCTCGTATTATTTCCTTCTTTTTTTTCTTTATGTTTTACAACGTGTAGAATATTAACCTGTTAGTGTACAACGCGAGCGATACATCAGCGGCTTTTTACGGCAACGGCGGGGACGATCCACCGCACCTCGGAAAGGCGCAATAAGAACGTGATTCTCTCACCTCTCGAGGGAAAAACCTCGCCTCCTCCCGTGCTAACAGGTTGAAATATGTATAACTGTAAAATGCACGAGAGATATTCTTTATTTTCTACCGCGTATGTCAATTTCGCATCCAAGATGCAAAGTCTCCGCCATTAAGGCAGTTATAGGTAATGTTCTCGTATAAATATCGTGGAAGCATTACATAATAGAAATTCTGAATATCTAGTCAAATGTGGGAGAATAAACAAGTCGTTTAAACAACAAATGAGGAACTTGCTGGAAGAAATTATCTCGAATCACGATCCTCCCGCTGGCGCAGTAACGATCGCGCGGAATCGATAAGCAAAAAACGGCCTACGGGCCTACTTATTAAAGCGATATTGATTTAACGTTCCCGGGTACGCCGGTATACGACAAAAACGAGAAAAAGAGAGGATCATCATGGTTCTCCTGAGCCAAGTACAATACCAGGATCAGATATTTCTGAGAATGTAATAAAGGACAGATATCGCGTGTGTCGCGTGTACACAATATAATAGGAGAGATAAAGAGATTAATATGACAATTAACTTGTCACTCGCGCGACTTGGTAGTCAGTAATTAATTGTAGCTGCGATAAATGTAACACTTATTATATACCAACTCGCGATTTACTTTACTATAAACAGGGCGAACCGAATTTTGGGAGAAAACCGTTCGATCAGCGCCACTCTGTATTATTTTAGGATGCGAGGGCACGATCAGCAAATAAATTCACATTGCAAAATTGTATAGAGAGATATTCGACGCGAACTCAGGGAATCTATCATCAGAACGAAAATATCCATGGCTAACATTTACGTAACAAAATGTAAACAATTTACAAATAAAAGCGTAGATTTGAACTGATAATACTTTTTTCATACATTTGGGTCCTTCTCACGAGCATAAAGCAAAAAAATCTTAATCCCTCATTCGGTTTGCAAAACAACGCCATCGATATATATTTTATTAGTACTTCAATCGCAATTATTTGTGTTAAAATATTGTATTAAAATTTATATATTAAAATATCGTCTTAAGCTTAATAAAATATCGTCGAATTTTATTTTTATCTCTATTGTCCGAGGTAACGTTCTATATACGTATTTTTTGAACGTACGTCCATACCTATTCATCTTGGGTTTTCCACACAAAGCTGCTAACTAGAAAGGCTTATAGTCAGCTAATCTTCGCAAGTATACATGAACGTGACGTGAGTCATCGCCTGGGTATCGCTGTCATAGATTGCATCAATATTTATGCCGTGCCGTTGCATCGCGTGTATGTGTGTGTGCGTGTGTGTATGTGTGTGTGTGTGCAGATTCGTGTATGTTATTTCGCGTTAAAACAAAAGCTAATTTATACGCGTCAAATTTTTTGCGTCGGTCAAGTCACTCGTGCGATTTTACGGACATCTCGTCGCGCGACGTGTATCCGCGCGATTTAGCGCATGAACAAATGCACAAAAAAAAAATATTACACGAAGTAATAATTGGAAATTTGACGTACGAGAGATATTACGTGTGACAAGCACGCTTCGTTAGCGGGAGGACTCCGTTGTCAAGAGATATTTTCGGTGATCATTATGTCCGACCGGCCTTTTAAAGCCCGAAACGCTTTTCATCCCGCGGATCCGCCGCACGGCATGCAAAATTACGATGTGGGCGCGCTAATGAGAGATCAGAAGCAAGCTTTGAACAAAATGAAAATGATCACTCGAAAGGAAAACGAAGTTTACCTTAAATCGCACCCGGAAATCAGAGGCTTGATCGGCACTTTACTGAGGTACACTTAATACTTTATATAATTGCTTTCGAAATAACATACGTATTTTGTTTGAATTTATACTCAGTTCTGTTGTAATTATTATACTTATGTTTTGTTATAGTTATATTTATACGAAAAGGACAGTTTTGCTAAAATATCTAAAATTTTAATTAGATACAGATTTGAAAATAATTTTGTTAGATTTTCAAAATAATTATGTAGAATATACAAGCATAATTATAATGCTGCTAAAAAATTTTGACATGCTAGCAATCAGTTTAACCGTTCTAATTATTTTTACACAATTATTTGGTCTAACAAAATTATTTTCAAATTTGTATCTAGCTAAATTTCTAGATACTTCAGCAAAACCGTTCCCCACCGTAAATTTCACATTCCACGTGTGTGGAATTTATATTCAATTTGTGTCCCTTCTGTAATAATAATTTTATTAAAAAAAACGCGAAACGCCAATTATAATATTTGATACGCGACGAGAATATCGTTCGAGATTAATGATACGTCATTAAAATCGCTCTCGCAGGCACGTCCTATCGAAGCAGCCGCTCATCGATATTCCCGAGGTAGTGGGTACATTTTTCAACAGGCCACGTCGTGAAATTGTTGCTGACCTTTTGGATTACTTGTCGTCCGCCGATAAACGATCGGCCATAACGGACGATCTTCGGCGGGAAGTATTTCGTACGGTCTGCAGCGATGAAACTCACGGTAGCGACGATTCGAGCTCGCAATCCGATGCTGGCTCGTGCAAATGCCCGAGTGTGTGTGGCAGTTTCTAATAGTAGTCCAAATATGCTCGACTTACATGGTTATATCCGTGCGATCTTTATACGAAAAGAGAGAAGCAACACGAAATATAAATCTTACTACAATTAACCTTTAAACCACCACGCCCAAAAAATCACGCACTAACCACAATGTCGGTCTGACAGACCGCTATTATACTCTCGCTAATTTTATAAGTTAATTATAATAAAAATTATGTATGTTTTCTAAATACTTGTTGATGGGGAAAAGGAAAAACTATGTTTTAATGTGAGAGTTAACAAAAAAATCTCATATACAATGTAGAAATAAAATATGTTTAAATGGTGACAAATAAGAAAATTGTTGACAAGTAGTGTTCCGATAGCGGTAAGACCGATATAGTGGTTTAAAGGTTAAACATGGCACAATTAAATACAATCCAAATCGCGCGAACTTTTCATAGATTTCAAAATCAAATTAGCTCGACTTTCGTATCGGGGAGCATATAATCCCGACTGTGTTGTGAAGACCCGTCCTCTTTATATAGAACGCTATGTAAATATTATACCTGCCTGTCATTAATTTACCGTATATTAAAATCCGAGCCTTATTCTCCACTAATGTTTACCTCCCGCACGTCAATACGTGATTATACACACGGATGCATCATACAGTTGCGTATATACGCATTTAAATCGCGCAACCGGTTATGCACCGCGTGTATACAGTGTTGTTGCCTTATTAATCCAAGCCTTACCCTATTTATTTTGAACCGTCCAACACAAGCGCGCAGTGCGAAAAACCATTATTTGTAATTAATGCGCGCGACACACAGGGAAAGTAACGACCGCGTTATCGATTAGACGACAAAAAAAAAGAATGTAGTGCGAAAACGCGGTTACGCCCGAGTTACCCTGACAATATTCAGCGACAATATTTATCTGGTCATGCTAACGACAGCGGTTATCTTGCAGAGTAATATGATGGGCGGTTAGGACCGGTTGCAGCGATGCCGATCGGCGCTAACCTCGATTAATTAAATTTTGTTACTTCATGTACGGGGTGTACCGCGGCGATTACTTTAACGACGGTCCCGCCGATCCAATCCCATATCAATTTTTCTTCGACCGAGAACGCCCGGGCGCGGATAGTCATCTCGAGCCACGGTGAAACTGTGTCGCATTTTCGGTCAAAAAAAAAAAGAAAGAAGACGAAAAGTCGAGATCGTTGAATTTTAACAGGCTGCAATGAATACAATGAATGCGAGCTATGCTGAAATTTTCCCCGAGTAGAAGAAAAGTTGACTGCGGATTTTGATCTTTCGGAACGTGCGCGATCAAGATTTAAACGTATCGCTATCACGGGGGGGACACCGTGTATATCTTAATTGGACCGCCGACGAGATGAAAACAGGGATCACCATTAAGAATCGGTTAGGGCTGTCAGTGCGATTTATCGTGGAGGGAAAACTCTCGTTTCCGTCGCCGTCGTCACGTTCGGCTCGATCGGCCGCCGTGTCACGCGATTAGTCGCAGAGCGAGATTAATCAGGCCGCGAGTAAAACCAACAGGAAAAAAAAGAGAGAAAGAGAGAAACGCTCGTGGAACGAAGGAAAGCGACGCCACCGTCGTGGCGCGTTGTAGACCAAGTTGTAGTCGCCGGGGTAGTAGTTTCCGCTTGCTTGCGCGCGGAGGGAATTGTTGGGGATGTGCTCGCGCTCAATTGTCCGCTCGAATTCCGGTACGCGCGGGTGTCTCTCACACACACACACACATACACACACCCACATACAGCCGTTCTTTCATTCTCCGTTATCTCCTGATAAACCACCGTCCCGCCGTCTTCCGATTGCGACTGCAAACACGACCGCCGAAGCCGCTCCTCCCGGGTTTTTTTGCAGGTGTCGTGCATCCTTGGTCGCGATACGCGGCCGGAACATGCACGCTCGTGCACACGCGGAGGCACTCCACATCAGGCGGGAGAGACTCGAGGGAAGGGAAAAAAAATGCGACAAGTACCTTAGATAAGTGCCTTTCGATGCTAGAAACGCAGCTGCTGTCGAGGCAGATCCCGACGCATCCTTCGGCGGTTGTTACGCCGTGGATCATCGGGGCTGAGAGGCGGTGACAAGGGCGTGCGACGAGCGTGGCGCGCGTCGCGACGAAGGGAAATATAGAGGCGAACTCCGCAAATATTTCCGAGAGCGGGGAGGAGAGTGCGAGGTCGAAAAAGTTTTCGGGAAAAATACTTTGGGCTCGACAATGTTTATCTGGTCGGCCTGGCGCGGCGCGGGCTTCCAGGAACCAACCTCGCGCCGCCGTCGCCGCCGCCGCCGCCGCCGCGGCGCTTGAGGAAGCGAGACGGAGAGAAATTTTATGAAGTCGACCGTTTCGGCAACAAATAAAGCTCGAAACTCCCTCGCCTCAGAAACGCGGGTAGGTAAACTCTCTCTCTCTCACCCCGCGATTCTTCTTTCATACCGCAAGTTACTTTTTTTTTTCATTGAATATTCCGCGGATGAAGAGCCGATGTGCTCCGCAATCCGGTTTTACGCGATAATTCCTTCATGACCCAGATCTTTGATAAATTTGTAAAATGTAATACGCGTCCACCCGCGGAATAAAGGGTTTTCGGGTAATCCGCCAAATGCGTTTATACGCGACGGACGATATTAATTGTAAATTGTTGATTTCCGCAATATTGATATATGAAATTTTCCAATCGTTATCACTCCCGACAGAGGATTTCAGGAAATTCATAAATTTAACGTACACATGACGTTACGTATTTAATGCAGTACGTACATTTAATATCCTTCCTCGATGGCAAACACGACGAATACAAATTCAACTTCGTAATACCTACTCTCGCTCCCCGTTTCTTCGTCTCAGTCTTATTTTCGACGAGCCGCGGGCGAGACAATTCCCAGAAGATAAACAATCCGAACACGCGCGCGCGCGCGCTCGGGTTCTAACTATTATAATTTCTTAGGAATATTTTCGACCTCGTCATCTTTCCAGATCTATCCTTTCGTTCTACAAACGATTTTCTTTCACAATAATATCCCGGAATATTTACTCAGGACAGCCCGCGGTGTGTCCGGATCTGTGAGTGCGAGAGACGGAACGCAAAAAGAGAGTCTTTCGCGCATGCAACTCACCTCTGGTATAGGACGGCAGTTAGGCGCCGCCGAGGAGTTTTCTATTAGCGAGCATCGTCGGCGTCGTCATCATCGTCGTCGTCGTTCGCGCGCACGCATGTATCAACACAGAGGCGTATATATATGCGGTTCGTAACCGCGTGGTCGATGGGCATCGCCCGGCCGCCCGCCGCCGCCGCCGCCGCCGCGTCGGTGAGCCGCTTACGTTAGACGCCCGATGTTGAAAGAGCCGGTCGAGAAACAGAGCTGTCTCTACGCGCCCCGCGAACCCCGTGAACGCGGTGATCAGAGATCAGGAGACGCGGGTAGAGTCTCGCGTCGAAAATACTTTTCGCTTAGTATCTTTTTATGAAAAAGACGCTATATCGTATCAAAACGGGAAACACCTATAGAAGTGAATTATTGAGTAGAATATAGAATATTTATTTACTTTTAGCGTTTAGAGAAATGAATTATGGTTCTTTTTCAATAAATTAAATTAAACGCACATCAGGAGACCATGATCGTGATTGGGAGACTTCAACGCGACTCGATATACAATCGCAATGCACGGAGAGGATTTTATTTTAAAATTTACTCTGTGAAAATCATATTAATCATGTAGGACAACATAGTATTTCGACAAATTTTATGTGATTTTTCACTATTTTTTAAAATATATACTATCACAAATTTATTGTAGTGCACAATGAAAAAACACAGAGAAAATCACATAACATTTGTCGAAATACTAAATATGATGTCCCATAATTAACATGATTTTCAGGATAAATTTTAAAAGAAAATTCTCTCCGCATGGAATTAAACATTTCTACTATATTCCAGGTGCAACATAGAAGCAAATGACGTCATAATGACGTCAATTCTTACATTATTTATGACATATCAAGTGGCAAATGAAGTCATAATGACGTCCATATGATATCATATGACTTTATAATGATAGCATTAGGTATGACTTTTGTGTTCTACCTGGGATCTCGCATGATATAAGACTCCTCGTATCGTGCGGAATACGCAATTCTTTGCCCCATAAACCCCATGCGGCTTTATCACTTCGCGTTTTTGCCACTTCGTTCATCCGCGTTACGACGAAAGTTCGGAAATGATTGTAGCATCACTGCGCTTGGATTTCGACATTTTACGTAATGTTTGATGTTTACCTGCAGATAACAGTGGCCGGTTCCACGATGTCTGTGGGACTAAAGATCTTCGTGTACTTAAAGGTATTTTGTGATCTACCAACTGGACGCGAAATGTAAATAAATCAACGCAAACGTCAATGTAAACGTCATAAATAACAATAGTCCCGTTCGCGACCATCTGTTTATTTCGATTTCTGTCGTATCTAAAAGTATTTTTGAACGGCGACGGATTTATCGCCGTATTCCGATCGCGAGCGAACTATCCATTATCGAAGTTGGATAGTTCCCGCGAGAATATCCGATTAGGGAAACTAATTAAACTACTTGCCAGAAAGGAGATTCACCTGCAGACTTCTATATAATGTTATAACATATTATAAAATAAAATTTGTATTAAATATACTAAAAATATATTAATACATCATGCAATACATCACAAATATATATTAAATACATTAAGCTTATAATGGATCGCCCGTTCGGCTGGATATCGGCTGGGGATTCGCGCCTACCTAAGCCTACGATCCTGCGTCCCGCTGCCGTCGACGCGGAGCCGTGTTGTATCCCCCGAGCCGCCCGCGATCGCGGGGGAAGCCGCGAGGGCCGAAGACGGCCGAGCGCGGCCGATGAGCCGCGTGGCTCTCACGGGGAAATCTGTTCGCGGCGCAGCGGGTCCTGGGTGTCCCGAGAAACGCGGAGAAGAGAAGACAGCGACGGGGAAACGAATTCTCGAACGGTGCTTTCCGATCCCGGCGTAGGTGGTGTCCACCGAATGCAGACGGAATGCCGATCGGAACGCGTAATCGTTGTTAATTGTCGGTGCGAGGCGAATCCATCACACGCGGCTTATCGCCGCGATAATAAGTCGCAGACGGTGATCGAACGTGGTGATTTATTTACGAGAATTCTCGTAAATAAATCTAACATCCTCCGCCCTCCCCGCCCCCTACCCCTCTCCACAATTCGCGGAACGCGTTTATCTCCTCCGCGCTTCCTGGCGCCATCATTGAAATTTTCATCAAACGGAGGGAGGCGAATCTTGACGCGGCAAAATGTCAATAAAGTTTCACCCTGAAGTTTATCTTTTTAATAATAGATTAGACAATAACATCAAACGGAATGTTTTCTCAGGGATTCTGGATAGCGCCTCGAAGAGCATTGTCGAGAAGTATTGTGATTTACAAATCAAGACTGAATAAAACGGCGTTATTATATACACTTCTTAGTATTACGCCGAAAACGTAAGGTTGGCGCCCTCCGTATTTCCGCGGATCCTCCTTTAAATTTAATCGCCGGAGTTATTCTCGAAACGTGTCAGAAATCGATTCGTTTCGTCGTCCTGTGTTTAAATAAGTATATCGAAATTAAATCATCGGAGAGAGTCGTTACATTTTACGAGACGTTTTGTATTTTTTATGTTGAAAAGGGTCGAGACAAGATATATGAAAATATCGTGAAACATCCATTTTCTCCTCGATAAGGATTGATGAGGAGGAATGATCTCACCTAATAATTTATACGCAGACTGACGGCAGAACTCGAGATTTACCTTAAGAAAAAAAAATTCTAATCTATGTAAGAATAAAAGAATAAGGGAGCTTACTTTTTATTCCCCGCGGTGTTTTCAGCGGTGTTTTCGGAGCTCCATTTGTTCCTAGAAACGAATAGCCCCCCCCGAAGAATCTTAAATGACCAAAAACGAATTCCCTCTCGCCATCCCTTAATTGTTCCCCGAGAGTAGGAGAAAAAAGCACGGTAACATTTTACATGGATCACCCTGTACGTGGCATGGGTTTAAGTCCTGCCGAGTCGCGCAGATGGCGCTGGCCGGCGCGCTAAATATGCGGGCGCTTGCGTACCCCGCGCCAGTCGCGGATCGGCCTTCGCGCATCGTGGGTGATATCGCTCGCTCGCTCGTATTTCCCCGCCGTGCTCGCCGCTACTTACGGTCACGTCTCTCTGTTTTCGTTTCGCGAGCGCGAGCGGACCGGCGCGGCGCGGCGCCCGAACGAGCACGTTCCGTGGACACGCGCGCGGTGCACCGCTGTATATCCAACAAAACGAGTGACACCCGGGCAATGAGCGTCCGCGACGGCGGCAGTGGCGGCAGTCCGGGTTGACGTCCCGCGGGATTTGCGTCGCGTTTCGCGAGAGTAACGGTCGTTTCCCCCCGGCTCGTTTCGAGTGACATTCGCGGCGCGCGGCGATAAACATCGATCGGGCCATCGTTCGCTCGCTCGGCGATCCCCTTCCCCCTCCCCACCACCACTGTCTCCTCGCTTCGATCGAGGATCGATCGCGCTCTCTCTCCCCCGCCGCACGCTACCTCCCCCCCACCCGAGATGGATCATCAGACGGAGCAGCGGCGCGCGCGCCGCGACTGTTGACGCCGACCGACCGACCGACCGCGCGACTCACGGAGTCACGGATTATTCTCCCCCTCGGCGCGCGCTCGCTCGGCGTTCGTCGCTCCCGTAGAATGGACACTCGCCGTCGTGACGACGGCGTTGTCAGCGGTGCGGTGCGCGCATCGATCAACCCGTGAGGAGCCGCGGACGACCCTTCGCTGTGCTTAAACGAAGCGCGAACGGCGGCGACGACGACGACGAGGCGAAGAGCTTCGAAGAGTGTTCCGCTCACCCTTCCCTCCCCCAGGGACGCCGTCGTTCAGTTCCGCGTCGCGTATTATCGATAACGGATACGGCATAACTACGTGGGAAGGAGAGGGGCGGGAGGGAGGAATGGATATTCGCCGCCGCTCTCGTCCCCGTGCAATGGCAGACGCGGCCGCGGACCGGCCGCGACGAGCGACCCGGCTGAAGTAAAAGCGACGGGGAGCCTCTCTCGGCCCGAAGTGCGGATTCGACGGCGCGACGCGCGGTCATCGATACCCCCCTCGCGCGTGTGTGCGTGCGCGCGCGCGGCCGCGCGTGAACGCGGCGCCAAAGTATTATTCCGCGTATGTGTGTGGTGCGTCGAAATATATAAGAGGAAAATAATAAGAAAGGAGCAACGTCCCCCGTCCGTCCGTCCGTCAGCAGCGTGGCGTGGCTCGAAGAAGAGGAGATTGGCCGTCGTTAACGAGGATCGTCGTCGTAGCGGCCTGTAACGGCCCGATGACTCGCGTGTGTTGATCGGCGAAGGGTGCCTCGATCCTCTAACCTCCCCCTTCCCGCCCCCTCCCCCATCACTCTCTCTCCCCCCGTTTCGGTGGTGTGTGCGTGCGTGCGACATCTCGGGGACAGCACGACGGAGAAGAAAAAGGGTACGACGACGCGCGACGGGGGCAGCCCTCGGATACATTAATGAAGATGTGCCGCGGATTGATCGATCGGTTGCTCCTGCTAGCGGCGTTCGGCATCACAGTCCAAGGTACAGTGTGATTTCTCTCTTTTCTCTTTCAATTCGACCCCCCCTTTGTTCATTTCGCATGTGCCCCCGCGTGTTCCTCTATACCCCTCGCCCCTTCCTCCGGGTTCCCCCCCGGCGTGCTTTTACGGGTCCATCGTGTGTGCCCCGCGCCGTGCGTAAATAATGTTGCACACATATAGGGTGTTCTCGTTGCACGCGGCGCGACGCGACGCGACGCCGCCGCGTCGGCGGCGCTCCGCCGTTTAAACGGAATCCCTGATTTTCCCACGGATTTCTGTTTATCTCTCTCTCTCTATCTATCTATCTATCTATCTTTCTCTCTCGATCGCATTTATAACAGATGCGGAGCACAGAGGCTCCCGGCTGGAAAACGTCGAGCGATTCGATCAGCGCGGCGTCGCGCTCTCCGCGCGACGACGACCGACGGCGTCGGCGGTGGCGGTGAATCCTATTCGCATAAATTGATTTGCGCACCCTCTCTCCCATTGTTTCGTCGATCGCGTTCCACCGAATACGCGCAAATCGAGTTCGAGCGCGTAACGAGAACGCACTTCGCGTCAAGTATTACAGTTAAAGTCGTCGAGGGAAAATGGACCTGGACGACTTCCCGTCGTTACCAGGCCGAATCGCAACACCCAAAATTCGGATTGACTTATATCGCTCTCTCTCTCTCTCTCTCTCTTTTTCATCTCGTAAAGTCCACGTAACGAAAATACGTCGATATCTCTCCGTTGATTTCCGGTCTATTTATTTACAACGGTAGATTAACTCGCACGCGTTTGGTCAAACATTTGCGTTTTAGATAAAACAGGGGAGATAAGATTCGTAGGGCTGTGAGGATCCAGGACTGTGAGCAGGACGTACAAATGGGGGATAATGATTCACGTCTCGGATTGCAACAAATATACATGCAAACGCATTTTACGTACTTTTGTTTACGACAGGAGCGAGGAAAAGGGGAAAAGAGAGAGAGAAAGCGACGGAGAGAATAATATTCGCGGCGACAAATCGAACTTTTACCTCAGTTTCTGGCGATAGAGGTTACAATATTGGTTACACGTAATTAGTTACAATTGTAGAACGAGTTATAATTTACGGGAGAAATAACGCGCCCTGTTGTGTGTGTATGTGTATGTATATACATTTTTACCGCAACGTCACACAATGTGTGTGTATGTGTACATTTATTATTAATTGCATCCAATCGTGTAACAAATAATATATAATTGATTAAACTGCAAGCGACTTTTAATCGTTTAAACGGGGAACGATTATTAAAGACTTCCGAAAGAGCGTTTTCGATTCGCCGGCATCCATTAATACTTACGTTACTCGGACTCTCTCCCGGTATCATTTCGTCCCGAAATCAACTCTGTTAACCCCTCAATTACTTTGATGGAGGCACATCTGACCCCGCTCTCGCTAGATATATACATAAGCTCGTGAGATATCACTTTTATCTTGAACTCTGACTCGCTATATTGCTTAAATGATTTTCACTTTTTCCCCCCCTTCCCGCTCCCTCCCTCTCTCCTCTCTCCTTTTTTCGTGCCCCTAATTAGCGAGCGAGTTATTTCCTTTGAAGATGACACACGCGAATTTCGACGAGTTTATTAAATTCTACCGTCTCACTCCTTTTTTTTTTTTACGAAAAGCTTTATTAATCAAAGCGTAGTCCGATTATTCTCGGCGGCTGTATGGTCGCTAATTACGAAACCAGCCTCTCGGATTTGCGCTTTTCGAATCGTAAACGTAAAAAAACACGACGTTATCTCTCTGTGAAAATCACATCGCCGCGCGCTTACGCTGCTCAAATCGAAAACAGGAAACGAAAATTAAGCTTCTGACGGAGCAAATTGCTTTTTGAAAATATATACGCATAATATACCAAGGGAGACGCGACGTTACACAACCGGCGGACACGGTGGTGACTATCGCCCGGTGTTTTGAGAGATCGCGTTTATGCGTTTACGTATATCTCTTCCTGTCGCACGTTCAAAATGCTCACGCGCGTTCAAACACATTCGGAACATATAAGCGGAGCATATAAGCGGCCATTCACGCGCGCGCGCGTAACGTTACACGTTGCATTTTACATTTTATCGCGCGGGCCACCGATATACCACCCCGGGTGTAGGGAAAACAAGATTCGTCGAATATTAAGGGAAAGTTCCGACGGAACGGGTTATTTATTTTAGTAGTTTCCGTGCGGCGGTGGCCTAAAAATAGACGACGATATCACAGAGAGAGCGAGAGAAAGAGAGAGAGAGAACGGGGCCGTGTATAGGCTTTCCGTGCTCTATTTTTGTTTGCGACTCGATGTTTATCGTTATTCAAGCAAAACTCCCGAGCCTCCATTCTTATGCGTCCACCGCATTGTGCTCCGCGCGCGCGTAGGCAAGCATTTGGTTTTCAAAACATTTCGTGTCCCGCCCCCCCCCCCCTCCTCTCTCCCTTGCCGCGTTTGTTTTCTGCTTTTTTTCTTTTAAATAGATGCAGTTTCATCGCAGCTTACGTCGCGGCTTACGGGCCGCAAATTATGCATTAGCGGAATTAAATATCACTGTTTTATGCGTTTACATCAAAGGATGTAATGAAAAGTTTAAAATCCGTATCTCACTTTTATAGAAAATAAATGAATTTCACTTATTTCTGAAATTCTACAATATATGTATAGTATATATTGTATGCTCTAAATGCGCATTTAAACTATAGTATATGTATAGTACTCGTATTTTGTATGCTCTACGCGGAGAGAATTCCCTTTTAAAATTTATCCCGAAAATCGTATTAATCGTGGGGCAACAGTATTTCGACAAATTTTATGTGATTTTCTCTGTTTTATTCATTGTGCACTACAATAAATTTGTTGTAGTATAGATTTAAAAAAAAGTGAAAATCACATAAAATTTGTCGAAACTATGTTGTCCTACAATTAACATGATTTTCATGGTAAATTTTAAAATAAAATTCTCTGTAAATGCAGCGCATTTAAAACTATAGTACATATATATATATATATATTATATGCTCTAAATTTATTCGATAAATGCGCATTTAGAGGTGCATTTATCGAATATGGACCAACGTGTTCGAAATGTAATTTTGTGTTCGAACAGCGTTCGAAGCGTATTCACGCGTAATCCATTCCTGTCTGATCAGAGAGGTCACTGGTTTTTCACTCAGAAATAGACAAAAATTTCGTCTTTCGGAGGTAGTCGAAAGGTATTTACGTGAATTGGGCGTAGTAATATTCATCGCTTAGTCAACTATTTCCATTTCCTTGAGGAGGTATGCAGCGCGAACTCTCGCTGTTGAACGCTTTATCGATTTCCATATAATTACGGCGCGTGTGTCGCTGGAAATAAGGGCGGGCGGCACGCGACGATTATGTTAAGGCACGGACAATGTGTAAATGATAAATTAAGCCAAGTTTATCCCTCCTTGTGTAACTCCTTGTGTAATTCCGCAAGTCTCTCGGTTGCTGTCTCCCCTTCTCTCTCTCTCTCTCTCTCTCTCTCTCTCTCTCTCTCTCTCTCCCTCTTGCGCGTGGTTTGACCACCACTAACGGCTACCTCGTTTCCGCGTCCGTTCCCTCTTTTTTCCTTATTTTTCTAATTCTCGCACGACCGCGCTCACCTTTTACTATACCCGAGTCCCGATATAATTGCTCGCCGTGTTATTGGTTATTACGTGGCGCCGAGAACGCGCGACGATCCGTCGCCGTCGCGCGCGCGGCGTCGTCGGTCGGAAACACGTTTTTAAATGGCCATTACGGCGATTGATCCCTCGCGCGCGGCGCTGCGATTAATCTCCTTCAGTCGCCGCCGCGACGACAATGCGTGTGCTGAAAAAGAAAAAAAAAGGGGGGGAAAACCCGTGGCTTACAACGGAGAAGAAAAGCCCTTCTCCCCCACGGTCTCTGCTTTCGCAGGTGTCCGTGTGCACGGCCGGTGACGCGCGCGCGTAAGAAGCTGAAGCTATCCGGAGCTCCTCTCCGGACCTATTCATGCTCCCTTAGAGATCCCTTTCACACAGGCGGGCTCTCTCTTTCAGTCCCCTGCGCGCGCCATATTTACCGGCTCCCAAACAGGAGATACGCGTATAAGCCGAGGATGTACAAGTGACAGTTTTATAAGACGCGAGTTAAATGCGCATCTATAGCTGAAGCACCGTCGTCGGGGTTTTTTTTTACCCGGCGAGACGCGGCGGGTGAGATTTTCTAATATCGCTTACTTATACCGTAAGAAATTATCGACACTCATAGAAAGTAACTATAAAAGTCTCTCGAAAGCGCGCGGAAATTTACGCACGCCCCGACAATTTATGCACGAATGTACGTCGGCTCGGGAATGCTCGCTGAAAACGCGGTGTGGGAGAATAACTCGTATATAAAATATCCGCAACGAAAAGTAATTTAACTAAATCACATTTAATTGCATTTAATGCAATTAAACGGTGATTCTGTTAAAATTACTTTTCGCGAAGGGGATTTCAATAACGCATCGGGAACACGTTCTACATATTCCGAACTTTAAATTACGTTTCCTCGAACGCGCCGTGTACCTTACAAAACGTACGCATCTCCTCCGCCACGCTCCTCTTCGCGCTGCTCACAAAAGACGCGTGTCTGCAGCCGCGAGGAGCGTTTTCGCGAAATTAGCCCCCCCGTGCAGGAGCGCACCGCGGCGGCGTTGGAAAATTTCGTCGAACGACAGGCGAATATCGGTCGTACTGCCGCGTGTATTGGATAGGATATGTGTGGGACGACACCCCGGCGCCCCGAATTTTCGCATCGGATAACTTTACGAGGCATTTTCCCGGTCGCGAACCGGCGCGGCGCGGCGCCGAACCGCCGCCGTCGCGCCATCGATACCCGTGGGTGCCCTCCTCCTGCCTTTTACGCCGCGAGAGACATAAAATACATTTACCGCACATTTTTGCCTTCACTGTGGAAGCCCTCCCGCCCCCTCCCGTCCCCCCGTCCAGCATACTCGCGA